CAAGAGTAGGCAACGAGGGAAACTCACAGTAAGTCAGAGTAAACAAACCTGTACTGAGCTCCTACTATGTGCCAGGCTCTGTGTTAGGGGTGACGAACAAACTGACATGGTTCCCTTGCTTGTGGAGTACACATTTCTAGGCAGCAGGTCCTGGGTGCCAATCTGTGGACACCCCAGAACAGAATTACCTGTTCCTCAGAATCTGAACACAGGTGCTGCCCCTGATCTAATGAGTCAGATATTCTAACAGGTAGGCGATACAGGAGGCTATATTTTTAATATGCAGAATAAGTAGTAATAAGTACCCTCTGGTAATCCTGAGCAACATCCTGACTCTGAGAACCACCACCGGTGTTTCTCAAAGGGTGATCTTTAATCCACTCATGTCAAACCCAGCCTCCCCAAGTGTGTAGCGCAGACACATGTGTTTTCAGTGCACCCGAGGTTTGAGAAGCATGATGCTAGACTGTCCTTCTCTTACACCACTTCCTTTCTATTAAATAACATGTGTGTGAAAGTGTAGGATAAATTGTGACGCACGATACAAAGTTAGCTGGGTATACTTCTTAGGGTCTTTAAATAAACAAAGAAGTCCAGTTTATACACGTTAACTGAAGTAGTGTGGAATGCAAGGAGGCATTCCTGAGAGCTTAACAGGTCTCTGACAGAATCTGCATGGTTCATACATCAGCAGAACCTTCTGGCACATAGGATGCTAGAACAGGACTGTTACCTCAACTGGAGGCTCTTCTGTCTCTGGCTGCTGGAGCAGAGCTGGGGTACCTGAGCATCACTCCACAGGTAGCTTCCTCTCAGAAGGTCACAGGGTATATATGTTCCACTAGACCACCAGCAGAACATTTTGTAGCATGGCAAATGATAAAGTAGGGCCTCTGTAAGTTGATCACTCAAGGGACTGCAACAGACTGGTCAACATACAGAGATGATCAATGTAAGGAACCACATCTACTGTGCTGATACATACGCATGGTGGAAGTCGGGTCTATGAAAAGTTGGTCACTTTAAGGAGGTGATCAATGAAGGGAAGTGGTCAACAATAGAGGTTCCACTGTCTTTATCAGGCAAGTCCTTTATGAGCACAGCAATATGCCACAGTAATATATCCCTTTAAATCTTCAGCTCTCTCAACACACTATGAGATCCAAATTCAAGATGTAGGATTCAGGATGAGGAAGAAACTAAAGGATAGGTAGGGACAGACTCTAAATTCCCATTTTATTAATAGATATGATGAATGACAGGTGTCTTTGATGCCACAAGAGCTGCAAATAAACTGTGTGGAAATCAGAAGAAGGTTAAGAACGATGATGGAGACACAGTGGGCTTCAGCTATAAGTGGTAAGAAGTTTGCATAGTGAGGCAGGAAAACTCATAAGTGTATGGAGTAATGTGAAAACAAGAGGAGAAAGAGTGCAGAGAAAGGGCCTGAAAAAGAGGGATCAAAGAGGGAAGAAGTAAATCACAAGAGTGGAAGGCTGACCCAAGGGAGGTTAAAATTTCAAGGAAGGTTAACTACCAGTGTTAGCGAGGACAGGAATGGAAGAAAGGCCACTGGCTTTTGAGATGTGCACATCACTGGTGACACGTCCAAGAGCAACAGAGTAGACTCTACTCAGTAGAGGGACAGGAGCTATTTATGGGTTTGGCCAGAGTGCTTACTAACAAATCTCAATCCCCTTTATAGCTCTGATTTAATTGTTTTCTGTCAAGGATTATCAGTCATTCTGTTTATGTTGTCATTGAACATTAAGATATTTTGCTTTCTGGAAGGCTGCCTCAGTAAGAACTGAAATGTAGCTGGATGTGTCCTCACCCTACTCTCCAGCATTCATCCACTCTCACCTCCCTCCTACTGTAACTCCCAAGGGGAACCTAGTATTATTTTTTAGGGTTTGTGGTGAACCTTTGGCATATGGTGGACACTCAAGGAAAATTTGTTCAGTTACTAATGTGAATGGAAGGGATCTAGGAAGTGGGTGGGAGGAAACTCTACTTTCATATTGGAAATATAGTAAATTATTCTCTCTTTCAAAATTAAATTTAACTAGGGTACTGTTGTATGCTGTAGAATAGTGTAACAGGGAAAGTGAACTTGGGACATGCTGGACTGAATCTCAGCTGTGGCATATTGCACTCCTGTAAGTCAGGTGATAGTCTTCATCTGTAGACAGCTTAGCGCCTGTAGCTCAGCGGCTAGGGGCAACCGGCACATACATCGGGGCTAGAGGGTTCGAACCCAGCCCTGGCCTGCTAAACAACAATGACAACTACAACAAAAAAGCAGCCAGTCGTGTGGTGGGCGCCTGTAGTCTCAGCTACTTGGGAGGCTAAGGCAAGAGAATCACATAAGCCCAAGAGTTTGAGGTTGCTGTGAGCTATGATGCCATAGCACTCTACCGAGGGCTACATACTGAGACTCTGTATCCAAAAAAATAATTATAATAAAAATAAAAAATATATATATATATATGAGCAGACTAGTAGAGGAGCAGTAAATAGCAGTGGGTATTAGTATTGAATATTACTTATCCTATAAACTGCTTATTCAGAAAGCTACAGTAATTTTCCAAATAATTTGGGCTGGAAAACTCATCACCCTTCATCTAGAAAGTTCTAATCACTTCTTTCAACTCAGTTACACCTGAAGGGGCACAACTCCAGCAAAAATTAAAAGCAGGTCTTGTGGAAGGCCCATTCAGTGCCATTTCTTTGACTTCAGATCGCTGAACAACATGCATTATAAAGTGTTGTTACACTTTTTAAAAAATTTATTGGCAGAACTTTTGCAACGAAAATGTTGAAGTCTTATCCCGACTGCGTGATCCCGACACTCACTTGGCACGCTTGGCTCACACAGTTAAGGCGAGGTGACCGCAAGTACCAGGGCAGCCAGATAATAAAGCCTCTGCAGTTCGGGCCACATTTTTTTCTTAAAGCTCCATTTCTATCCCAACCCCCTGGGCGCTAGACAGTCATACCCGAAGTCCCCGAGTGAGAGACAAGCAGCCTTGCTCTAGGCCTCAGGCGGACAGAAGCTGCCCAGGCCGGAGCGAGAGTCCAGCCGCTTCCTGCGGCTGCACTAATGGCAGCCCCCAAGTCCCGCTGAGGGCCAAGTTCCTCCGGGCACTAGGAGGCGGGGGCGCTCGGCAGGCCCCGCCCCCTCCAGAGTTCCGGGCCCACGACCCCCGCCCAGCCGCGCTGACCGCCCCGCCCCGCCCCTGCTCCGCCCACCGTCCGGCGGCCCTGAGGGCGGCGGGGGGCGGAGCGCGGAGGCGGCCGCTGGCCCCGCACAGATCGCTCTCCGCTACGTGGTCCCGGCCCGCCGGTCGCGGGAGCTCCACGGTGCAGTCCCCGGTGAGTACCGGCTCGGCCCGACCGACGTCCTCGGGCGCGAGCGCCGGTCACCCTGAGGGCAGTCGGCGCGGGCCTTCAGCGCGGCGCCCGAGGCAGATCGTCTAGGGGAGGGGGAGAGACCTGAGGGGAGAACCGGGGACTAGTTTCAGGGGATTGACCTCTCAGCTCTGTCCCCAGCCGGTGTCATGCCGGGGGAACCTGGGAATTGGAAATGGCTTTCTCGGCCCCCCTTAGCCTGGGCTCTGCGTGCTGTCCGGGGAGTGAGTTCTCGCGGAGCATGTGTGGCCGGCACCGGGAGTCCTAACGCGGAGCGCGCGGCCCACTCTGAGTCTTCGCGCAGGCCGGGCTGGCTACGTGGAGACACTGGCGCTGAAGTTGTACCGGCAATCTACTGCAAGGAATAAAGGGAAAATGAGTGAGGGAGAGGGACCCCCGGGTGCGAGGGCTGATAGATTCAGAAATCAAGAAAGGAGCTTGGGCTGCCTTTTCCAGTTCAGCTGGCACATCATAATGGCATCTTCCTTCCTGTAATACCCTGACCCTCCTCCTAAGGGGATAACCTTTAGGACAGAAGTTTCCAAACATTTCTGGGGACTCAGAACCCCTTTACACTCTTAGAAATTAGTATCCTAAAGGGACTTTGGTTTATGTGGGGTTATATCTATTGATATTTCCCATATATATATAAATAAAATTGATAATTTTTTACTATATTTACTAATATTTTACTATATTTAATCATTTCTTTTAAAATAATAGTAGGCTAATTATATCTTAACGTATATGAAGAAAAAAACTTTTCTAAAACAGAAAGTTCTTTTTGCAAGTGTCTTTAACATCAGGCATAATAGAAGACTGCTGGCTTCTTATATCTGCTTCTGCCTTCAGTCTGTCCTGGTATCACGTGTCATGTAGCCTCTGCAGACCTCCACTGTATGTTCTTGAAAACATGAGAGTGTAAAAAGCAAATAACAAACAAAAAAAGTATTTTTATGAAAATGGTTTTCACCTTGCAGATCCCTAGGAGTTCTGGGTATCACACTCTTAGGACCACTGTTGTAAGAAATGCTTTAGAGGCTTCATTGGGGCATCTGCTTCTGTGTGATCCTTCCCTCCTCTTAATGAAAGCACACACCACCCTATGCTACGGACTGTGTGAACCTCCAGTATCTGGGATCAAGGTTAACCTCACTTGGAAACCAAGTACTGGGTCATGACGTGAGGGAATGATGAATCTTGCTGGCCTCTTCCAAACCCACAAATCCCTTTGGTGGTTTCTGTGCCTGCAGAGCTGATTTGCCTGTGCTCAGAGTTATGGCAGGGATATGGCAAAGAGAAATGCCTATGTGGAGGCTGTGCCAAGTGTGTAGGGGTCAGTGTGAGAGTTACTAAATAATCAAGAGATTATTTCCAAAAGAACAGGGAACATATTTAACAGTATGTCTGCATGTTCATTTCTATTTGCACTTGTGTGGTTGTTGGCCTTGAGTTTATCAGAAAATAATTCCCAGTCTTGGTTCTTTCATTTTCTACTTTCAGAGGTGTGTCACTGTGAGTGGTTGTTCCTCAGCCCCTGAAAGCAGCATCTAGCATCTTGGTGTCTGGTAGGTAGACTTCTTCACCGGATTCTTGGCTTCATGCTCTCTCCAAACAGGCTCAAGATAGGTATTACAGATGGATATATATCCAAGAAAAAATTATGCCCCTCCTTTTGTTTCTCCATCCACAGAGCCCCTGTGCTACAGTGGAGCAGCTTAGCTGCTGCAGCTGATACTGATAGAACATTGCACTAACATGAGCATGTTTTGTATTGTTGTACAGTCCACAGATGGGAGAAAGGAATGGGATCTAGATTCTGAGCATCTGCTGTGTTCTCTGTGTAAAACTTACACTTTGATGGTGGGGTCTCATTCCATATTCCTTCAGTAGAAATTTATTGACCTGTTTATCATGTGCCCAGTTCTATAGCAGATGCCAGGAGAGTAGTAATCATAAAAGGTGCAGTCCCAGTCTTTTTGGAGCTTATGATCTAACAGTTTAGGGAACTGCTGGTTAATTGAGATAGTCCATTGTCAGAGTGTTTACAGGGATCATGGTCCAGTGTGAGGAATAACACTCCTCACCAGCAGTGTGCTTCCAAAGAAACTAGAGTTCTTAACTGTAAAAATGATGATAAAAAGCAGCATTTATGCCTGGCAGAGAACTTCCTTTGCCTTCTTACCCCTATTCTTTTACAGAGAACATTCTTTTACCTCTGATGAGGTAGCCAGACTCTGCCCAGGGAAGTTACCTCCGACCTGGGACACTTTGAGTGGGACACTTTATCATCTCTCTGGACTTCAGTAAAGTGAGAGATGATCCCTCAATTTGGGACACTGTGTCCGAAGAAACGAGTGGCTTAGTAGAGCTGGTTAGTAGAGCTAGCTTTTATGTGTATCTCTTCCCAAGTCCTTTTTCAGTGGTGACACATTTTCTAGGCTGACATCGTAGGAATACTTACACCGTGGAAATCAGCAGATACTCTAAATCAGGGCCTTTTTTCCTCCTAGAGAACACACTGTTAAACATTTACCAGTACACTCTGCTTTTGTCAGAGCTTAGGTGCTTTTGGTTGATTTGTTTTGTAATAGAAAACGGACTGTTCATCCTGGGTAAGATATTGGATACAAAGTAAGTAATCCAAATCCTCCAAAATTTTTGATAGGGAAAAAACAATCTGTTTTCACCGTATCATAAAATACAGATCAGCAAACTTTTTGTGTTAAGGGAGAGATTGTAAATATTTTAGACTTTGTAAGTTATACAGTTTCTGTTACAAGTACTCAGCTCTATTGTTGTGTGAAAGCATCCATGGACAGTATGCAAACAAGTAAGCGTGGCTGTGTTCCAATACAACTTTATTTGTGAAAACAGATGCTTGGCCACAGTTTGTAGACCCTGTCCTAAAACATTAGAGCAGGAGTCATGTTTCAAGAAGGTAGTTTCATGGAAAAGGAGATTCTTCAGGATTTTTTGCATGAATACTAAGGACTTGAATTTCTGAGACAAATATAATTGGAAGTAGGAACTGCAAAGGATTTGGAGTCAGTTGTAGGAGAATTCATAGTAGGTCATTTAAAGGAAGGCCAGGTGTTCAAGTTTTGAAGACAGCCAGGGAAAGGTCTTTATTCCCAATTCCCACTGTAGAGCCATCTCAGACATCATGCTGGGATGGATGGACCTGCATTTTAACCTGGTATGTGAATTTTGCATGTTCTTATGTCAAAACCTCTAGTGCCTCTAACAGCTACGTGATTCCAAGGACAGAGAAAAAGAAAGGAAAATCCTTATACTTGTGTAGTATACATTGTATATGCACAGTGTGTGTATATATGTGTATATGACATTTGTATATCTATATACGTACATAAGTTGCATGCATGTATGATTATGTTCCATATATTTAAAGCAGCCTCCTAAATGTTTGGAAGACAGACATACCAAACTATTAACAATTACCAGTTCTGGGCAATGGGATGGGCTGGAAGGAAGGCAGGGGACCTTGTTACTTTTCGTAATACCAGATGTCTTCCTATCCTAAAAAATTCATGTATTGCTTTTACAATTTAAAAACAAAAACCTGAAATCCCAATAATTGATAATTTACAAAGATAGGATTATCCTTCTGATAAGAAAGCTACCACCACCCTCCTCCCCCAATAAAACAGAGTATTTTAATTGTCATATCCTGGTTCTGAACTAGCATATATAATACTAGTAAATATTAACTCAAGATGATATTGAGAGCAAGCCTGTCCGGTCAAAACATTTTATTAAAAAATAGTAATTAAATAATAGGTCGAAGTATTCCTTAATGGGCCATTATGCAGTCCTGAAACTGGTGTTGAAAATTGCCGTTGTACAGTTTTTAAACTAAATGACACAGGAACATTTCCCCCATGGTCCTATATTTCTGAGGAGACAAAGGCCATGAGCGTGAGTATGCACCTGCAGGGACAGAGGCGATGGGGGTGCCAAAATGTTGAATGGCTTTCACTTGGTGGTGGAGTACTTTTTACATTTTCTTCACTTTGCTTATCAGTATTTCAACATGAAGAAATAGTAAGTTTGACATGACCAAGATTAACCACTACAGTTATTTTTACACGTAGTAGATTGAGAATAGCAGCTTCCATTTCTCCTAGGCGGACTGACCACCAACTTGCCTGGGAGAAGGCCTCTGTCCCTCTCTCTCCCCCAGTGGGAAGTAGAAGACACGTGAGGAGTGTAAGGCATGGGGAACTGTAAAGGGGCACACTGACCATGAGGTCAGTCACATTGTGCTGTCTGCTTTCCCCATGGAGTGTGTCCACCCTCAAGCCCCACTGTCTTACCAGTTGACCTAAACATTAGAAAGTTCTTCCTAAGATTGGCACCATCACCTGAGGAGCCATCAGCTGACCATTTCCCTAGCTCAGTGGCCTTCATTTCTTTCTTTTTTAGGCTATTTTTTGTAGAAAATCTTATCTATAAAAAGAAATGGAGAAAGAGTATAACACTTCCAACTGTTATGCACATTAATAATTGGGCGATTATGTTCCCTTGTGCTTTTCTCAACCTCACCTCTTTTTCCTTCTGCACTAGGTGGCATCTTCATTTGGGGGCTATATAAATTAACACAAAAACCTATTTTTTATTAGGTCTTTTATTAGTAAGCATATACTTACTGATACAGCAAAAATCTTTACTGTTCTGCCCTGTGTCAGCCAAACTGAATCACTGACGGGTCCTTGAACACTTGCTGTGTTATCCTCTCTTTCCCCTTTTCTATTTGCTCTTCCCTTTGCCTGTGCATTTAACTTCATCTTTCCAAGTTCTCTGTAAAGTCTCTTGAATTCCAGTTGTCTGCCTCCTTCCTTTGACCTTTCTTATGACCTTTATATTACTATAATTGTATGCTTATCTCAGTCTCATTGTTAGCTTGTAATCTTCATAAAAATGAGTGTTTTCTTTATCTTCCTTTCTCTTTGGATGCTTAAGAATGCTTGAGGCAGAGAAGAGACTCAAGAAATGCCTGCTTAATTAATCAAGTTCACTAGGGAAGATTTTGAGTATAAAAGCTATCCTCCTGTTAAAAAAAAATGTTCAGATATAACCTAAGACCAAGAACATTTTCTCTCACTTGTATGGATTTTTAAGAATTGTGATGAAAAAAATTTTTCACTTTGAGCCAGTAGGAAAAGGTGTCTTTTTTTTCATTTTTGGGAATTTTTTTTATGATTATTCATCATTTTTTCACACATGTATCTAGAACCTTTAGGCCTTCTCTGATCTTAGAAGGCATTTCCCCCACCATGCCCCCAGAAAAAGTCCTGAAAAATATAGAACTTTTATTGCATAGGAGTGATTCTTCACTATATTGTAAATATTTTTTGTTTTAAAATATAGTTCTAAATCTTTAATAAATAGGCTACATTTCGAGCCCACCATGTGCCCCATGAAATAAGTCAATAGCGGTCTGAAGAATTGTGGGAGCTCACAGGAGTAGAGTTCCCAGTGTACACTGTGCTTTCACATTTGACCTTGTTTAATTATCCCAGCAGCCCTTGTCATCTGGGCAGAGCAGTGCAGACAGGCACCATTACCTTAAATCTACAAAGAAGTATATGGTTTTAGGAAGAAAGAGGGAACCTTGTCTACTGTAGCAAGTACAGAGTCTGATTTTAAGTGTAAATTGGAAACCAGAGGGCTTTGGGATTAGATGTTGCAAACATGAGAAAACACAAAGTCATCTTTCTAAGCATGTCTTTGAGAGACAGAACAGTTTCGTGTACCTCTTAATGCATAGAACTACTAAAATGATATCACACTTTCTGAGCCATTTGTTTCTTAGATTCCTCATGCTTTGCTTTAGTCTTCATTGTCAAAACTTAATCCACCTTAGCTGCATCAGCAGAGCTGTCTGTGCATGAGTGCTGGCATAGTTTTCTCTCATTCTCGAGTCTTGACCTAAGGAGATCTCTGGACATACACAACTTTGGATATTGTGACTTGCCTGCACCATTGCCCAGACACGTATGGAGTGCTTAATTATTAAATACCCTTGTCATCCTTTCTATGACTTATTGTAAAATTATAAAACAAGGTGCAAGTTGTGACATAGTTCATTAAGAAGGTGTGTCAGTCTAAGAAAGTATCCTTCATGATCACCAGGTTTGAATTTTTGGTTGAGAATAAGAGAGGTGAATAAAACATTGCCAAGAATCTGATATGTGCAAGAGCTGTGCTAGTGCAGGCATACGAAAGGTACAATTCTATATTAATGGTGGAATCAAAACTAGCCTCAAGTTTGGCTTTAAGAATGTTATGTTTCATAAATCCTTATTTGCTCAGATCAGGAATCTATCACATTTCAAGTGTTGGTAATGCCTGTATAATTTACATCAAATAATCTTTTACAAGTTATCTATTGGCTTGGCACCTATAGCTCAGTGGTTAGGGCGCCAGCCACATACACGGGGCTGTTAGGTTCCAACCGGCCCAGGCCTGCTAAATAACAATGACAACTACAAGAACAACAACAACAAATAGCCAGGCATTGTGGCAGGCACCTGTAGTTCCAGCTACTTGGGAGGCTGAGGTAAGGGAATCATTTAAGCCCAAAAGTTTGAGGTTGCTTTGAGCTATGATGCCATAGCACTGTACTGAGAGTAATATAGTGAGACTCTGTCTCAAAAAATAAATAAAATAAAAGTTATGTATTGAGGCCAGTTGTGGTGGCTCATGCCTGTAATCCTAGCACTCTTGGAAACTGAGGCAGGTAGATTGCCTGAGCTCATGAGTTCAAGACCAGCCTGAGCAAGAGCAAGACCCCATTTCTACTAAAAATAGAAAAAACTAGCCAGACATGGTGGCACATGTTTATAGTCCCAGCTACTTGGGAGAATGAGGCAAGAGGATTGCTCAAGCCCAGTAGTTTGAGGTTGCTGTGACGCCATAGCATTCTACCCAGGGCAGCAGGGTGAGACTTTATCTTAAAAAAAAAAAAAGTACCTATTGAACAAATTTTGCTACAATCAGGAATATTTTAGAGAACTTAAAGTTGACTTTCTGGTATTCACATATGTACATTAGAGCCATAAAGATTGCTTTAAAGTGAGATTTAAATCTTTTTTAAATCCACTTGGTTAGTTTGGATCTTCATATGTGAAATAACTAAAAAATGATCTTACTTATTGGGAGGCAGCATGGTGCAAGAGAGTTGGCTCTGGCATCAGGAGGCCCGGGTATGGCTCCTAGCTTGGTCACTTACTGCACCTGAGACGGTGGCAAGTTACTTAACTCCTCAGATCCTGTCTCCTCACATGTAAACTGGGCAGTGATGCTGTTGTCAGGAAGTTGCCAGGGGACTGCCATAGACATTGTAAGGAA